CCCCAAAACCCCAAAACCCCAGGAAATCAATTTTACAGTAATAATTTGATATGGATTATTCTAGATATTATAAATTTAAGTAATATACGTAAATAATAATGATACCCACTTATCAAGGAAATAACCAAGCTTCAGCTTAACAAACTGAACTCATTGAAATAAAAGACTTGGCATAATTAGAAACATTAAAGAAGGGTCTTACTGATAAATGCATAGCTCTTTTATTTTGGGCAGACTGGCATCAACCTTGTCATTAATTGAGAGATTAATTCCAGGAGATGATCAAAGTCTACAAAGAAGTTAGATTCACATGGGTAAGTATCTTTCTGAGTTTAGATCATTAAATCTTACTTTACAAAATAGTGCAACTCAGACGAGTGTCAAGATCTTATTGACAAGTTCAATGTTAATGAAGTGCCCACTTTGGCTTTGATTCACCCTCATAAAATGAATCCAGAAGTAATCTAGAATCCATCTCCAGATCAACTTAACTCAGTTATTGAAACTCAAAATGAGTTTTATCAGAAATGGTTTGAGGAGGAAAAATTAAAGGCTTTCAGAGAAATTGATGATATGGTTAAAAATAATCCCTTCTTCGCTTTTATCAAAGGGTCACCTGAGTAGCCAAAATGCAAGTTCACCAGAAGATTAGTTGAAATGTTTGGAAAATCTCAATATAAATACAAGAGCTTTGATATTCTAAGTGATGAGCGTATTAGATAGTGGCTTAAGTTCTATTCTAACTGGCCAACATTCCCTTAAATCTTTTTAGAAGGGTCTTTCGTTGGAGGAGTTGATATTGTGACTGAACTTATAGAAGGAGGTGAATTTGAAGAAATGGTTCCAAAAGTATGCAAAGCTTTGCCTCCACTAGAAGAATTTTAAGTTCTACTTAATGAACATAAAGTATTGGCTCTTATTTAGGGCTCTGCAGATGTTCCTTAAGGAGAAAATAGCCAGAATTTAGTTAATCTTTTAAAATCTATTGGAGTAAAATATGTTGCAATAGATTTGACATAAAAAGAAGCATTAGCAAAAGCTCTCTAGGAACAAGGATTCAATGGAAGCCCTACTCTTTATGTGAATTCCTAGTGCCTTGGAGACTTAGATAAACTTAATCAACTTCATAGTGATAATAAACTAGTTGATCTTATTCCTTCTGAAAATAGAGTTGAAACTTTGGAATCTAGAATTGTAAGAATTATCAATCAAGAAAAGGTAATGGTATTTATTAAAGGACCAGCTTCATCACCATATTGTGGTTTTAGTCAAAGAATTGTTAAAACACTTAACAAATATGAAGGAGTGAAGTATGGTCATTTCGACATACTATCAGATGACACAGTCAGAGAGGGTCTTAAAAAGTATTCTAACTGGCCAACTTATCCTCAACTCTATGTCAATGGCCAATTAGTTGGTGGAATAGATATAGTTGAAGAATTAGACCAGGAAAATGAACTTGATGAAGTCTTAAGAGCTGATAAATGAGAAATAATATATTCATCAAAGATTAATGCTTTCCTTTTTTAGATAAATGACTATTTAAATTTAGAATTATTTTGCCTCATGGGGTTTTGGGGTTTTGGGGAGATCGGAAGAGCAC